TTGGGCTCTAGGGTAACTGTGTTACAAAAGAGGAGTTAAGCATTACACATCTCACATAGCTAATCCTCTTCAGCGTGGCCAGCTCGCCATACCTGCTCTCATGACACTATGAGGCTTACAGTTAGACCTCTTTTAGGCCTGGATTACTGCTATGCTTCTTGTACGGCTGAAATGGTATATTTAAAGCAGTGGCACTTTATGATAATTGATGTTTACTGCTCCACTGATATTTATACTCTTGTGTGTTACCATATCTAATTGATTGTTTTTATGTGTCCATCCTTCAGGACCTTGCTACATATCAACTTCTTGGCCCCCTTAATCACGGTACTGCTCTGGGTGAAGCCCATAACAAAGGATTACATAATAAATCCCACGTTTGGGAAAGATAGTGTGCCTTTGTGAGTATTTCATTTTACAATTATGTTTTGCATTACTAGTTTGTTGAATTGTTATTAAACTTGTTTTAAAGTTCATCAAGAGCATCTGCACTTGAGCAAGTCAACATGGAAACAAAATTAGCTCTGATTATTTACTTAATGCCTGTTCCTGGACTTATTGTGTATATGATTCATCAGTACACAGTGTTCAAATGAAAATTAATAAATGGCCTTGTTTCATGCTGTGAAGGGTGGAATAATGTTAACAAATAGTGTAACGCACTTATTGGTGATAAATTCGTATAATCGCATTCATACGTTTTTGTATTATCTGCTTACGCCCCACTGAGGGTTAGGTTGAGAGATACACCCCCATGCTTACTTTTTTTCTACAAATCTGTGTTTTAATGTGAGTCAAATCATACATTTGCCAACTGTTGTAGGTAATGCAGTCTTTTAAACTCTTGCCAATAAATACCCTCTCCAACAGTAATTTAATGGTGGTTAATGGAAGTAGAATAAAGAAAATAGAATAACAGAAGATTTGGGATGGGGTTGAAAGGCGTTTTCATGAGAAGTCAATAAGCTCTTGAGGGTGAACTTGTTCTTCAGCTTCCACGTCTTGGTCAGAAATTGTCCTCAAAAGTTGTTGCTGTTGATATTTATAGATGGGAAGTAATCATCGGGCAATCCACTACAAACTCTCATTTGGGTTCCATTCTTGTGTGTATTGCCCACTTTTGCGCAGTCTAATCAAACAAGTTCCACCCTATATTTGTTCGACTCATGAATGCAGTAGTAAAATGGGTTGCGATTGCCATTTTATGTTGACTTAAGGCAATTTCTTTTTTTTTTTTTTTTTTTTTTTTAGGGAGACCTTTTTAATTTTCCTCAAGT